ATATATATATGTGTGTGTGTGTGTGTGTGTGTGTGTACTTTGCCTTGAAAATGTTAAAAGGAAATAGTGCTGCTGGACATATGAAGACTGCCATTGTTGACCACTAAATAAAAATTCTAACTACTTGACTGTCATTTAGGCCCAATGTATACAAGGCTTTCTAAACCTCTGACCTGGCATAAGAATTCAGCATTTGAAGTCAGAACTGCTAATTTGCATACTGGCATATGATATGGGACACTGCACAAAAGGAACAGTAGCTATCACATAAGCAGGAAGGCCAGGCAACCAGTATTTTCAAGAGTAGTCAGCAACAGCAGCCAGGTGCTTCTCTCAGTACATTTCCTTTAAGGCCCCGTTCACACCAGGGCGGTTGCGGATCAGCTCGGTTTCTGCATGAATTTTAGAAGGGCGGTTTTGGGCTGAAACGCAATTAAAAATGCCCAAAACCGCGCTGATCAGCGAAGTTCCATTTAAATCTATATAGAAACCACGCTGATTAGCACAGAAAAAACAGGGTGAGGGAGCATTTCGGGCGGCAGACGGTTTGGATCGTGCTGACCCGCTTGGTTGCATGAAAGGTCCCCATATCAATGTATGGGATCGTTCATGTTGGCGGTTCAGCACGGCCAAATCCGTGCAGCCAGACCGCCCTTGTGTGAACGGGGCCTAAATGGTATTTCACTTCAAAATAATAGTAATAAACAGCTCTGCTCTATGTTTCATACTATATTTAAATGATGTAAATGAAATGAGAGTATGACAAACTATTGTGCACAGCTTGCAGCATCTGTAACCATATAGAAATCATGGTGATGAGAATTTAACTGTAGTTATTACAAATGGCAAATTAGTGACTTTCAAAACACTACTGAACACCATCTGTATTTTACTGATTTGAAGACTGTATGTGATTGGGCCAGTGTTAACATTGAAGTATATATTTTCACTTTTGCAGTCAAATATGAGAAACCCCCACTTTATGCTTATTATGCATTCCTAATCACAAAACATACCTACAAATAATGTTTAAAAAAATATTTCTTACCATTCTAGTTGTTTCTTTGCAGCAGTATTATAATTAGGACACTACAGGAAGGATTATATTGCTTAGAATAGATAGCAATGTACAAATACGGGACAAAGTGAGGCTGTTTTTTTTTTAAGTGCATTGGCATACAATGTAGCAGCCTGGAGATCTTTAACCCTTTGTTAGGACAGACAGTTCAGCACATCTAGTTTACGGCTTATAATTGAAATCTGCCAGTACAGTACACACAGGGTTAATTATGGTAAACATAACTCCCAAGCCCCTTTGCTAAAGCAGGTAAAACTTTTATCAGGCTATGTTTACACCATGTCCGGACCAGATCTGAAGCAGATCTGCAAACGCAGTGTTTATGCCACTCACTGCTGCATTATCTTTTTAGCTTAAAATGGGCTTTTGGGTGCAGTCCAGTGTGTTTTTGAGAAGTTTACATGCGTTCCGGACCAGAGAAAACGAGACAAGCAGTATTTTTTTCTGCCTGGGCCAGAAGGCACTGCATTGGTGTGAACAGAGCCCAGAAATAGCATAGGGATACATTGGAATGCTTTTTTGGTCCGGAAACAGACGTTCTGGTCTGAACAAGGATGTCCCCTGCACACCATAGAGCAACAAAGACCTCAAAGTAACGGTGGTGCTCGTAGCGATGTCCACGGATGGCGCCGTGCGTACAACAGTAGATAACAATGAAGATCACCAGGACTCGTGTGAGTCCTGGTGATCTTCATTGTTATCTACTGGTCTGGACATGATGTGAACAAGCCCTCAAACCTT